TGCAGCGCGCTCACCGCTGCACGTCTACCCCCCCCCCCATTATATTATAACACCCTCATGGCATAACTTGCCTTCGCGTGACGGTGCAAACAGACAGTGGCTCAGCCCGGCAACTTGCCTAAGCCCAGTAGCAGCAGCGCAGGCCACCTCGAGCACAGGCGCTGAGCGCAGGCGCTTGGCAACAGATTCAGTAGCGAGCAGATTTACGCCTCCCGGAGGACCGGCGCTCCGCCGGCCGGGCATTGTGCAGCCTAATCCCCATTGTTCCTCCGCATCCTACCCGCTTCGCGAGGGCTTCCTGTAACGTCAAAGGGCAGCATTGTGGTGCCCGGCTGGACTCCACGCGACGCTTACAGTGGGCGCGTGCACCCTGCCGCGCCGGCAGCCCGGCCACGCGCCCGCTCGCTCGCTCGATCGGCCCTCGCGCATTTGCACTTGGAAGTTGTCGGTGTCCCCCCTTGCTAGCACAGGCCCGACCGGTACGCGCGCAACAGCGAAAGCTCGTAGGAGCGGACGTGCGCACGTGCGGTGGTACACGCGGTCGTGCACAAAGACGGCCGTCGCATGCGTGGCCGTGCAGACCGTTGGGGAAATTATTAAATGCCCGCATGACACACAAAGCGCACTTGCCTGATTTGGTCTGTGTATGTGTGTACGTTGCAGTTCTTTCGCACCGTACGTAGCCAACCGTGCTAATCGGAGGTGCGAGGGAAGGACAGCGAACCAAACGGAAGGACAGCAAACTGATTTATCACACCAGCTATTTGTTTAAGGTGGAGTGAGCCTAAGGTAGGCCCAGGACAGGTAATGACATCACTGACATGTCATTTGTGGCTGGGAATTGAACTCAGGTTTATGGGTTCTGCTTACCAATGCACCACCACGTGCACACGCGCACAAATGTCAAAGTGCCTCCGCTGAAACGATAAATGAGGCAGCGCTCATCTCTGAACCGTCAATGGAAATCCCACATCCTCATCGCGGTGGCAAATATTTCAATTTAAAGCTTTCGTGACTGCAAGGATTCATCTTCTTTGGTTCTTTCGGTAAAGTCACGTAGAATGAGAATAAAATATTAAATTGATAAAATAAAATAACACAATAACGTCGTGAGAATTTTATTGTGTTATTTTATTTTATCAATTTATTCTTTTATTCTCATTCTACGTGACTTTACCGAAAGAACCAAAGAAGGTGGCAAATATCTCCAGAAGAAAACCGCTGTTTACTTGCCACAGAGTGGTTCTTATTTTATTGACCCCCTTTTAGAGATGATGGGCTGAGCTGACCCACGACTGTGATTTGAACTCACAACCTTCTGATTGTGAGCCAAGCCCTCGGGCAGGCACACCTGTGGCATAGCCTGCAGGTGCCGGGTGGCCGGCTGGCCGGCTGAGACAAGGCTTTGATGAAAGATGCAGTGTGCGGAGGATTACATTTCCTCACAATAGTGTTTGAACAATGGAGACGTCTTTCCAGCAAGCCCAGCTGTTCGCTCCTCCGGCCAAATGACTACATGACATTTGACGTGATTACCTTACCATTCCGTGGGTATAATTTTAAAAATGTGAACTGCATTTTCCGTTGGCGAGTTAAAGTTGTAGACCGCATGCCCGGAGCAATTATGGCGCTCCCTTTTAGATCATGGATAGGCATTTGGGCTCAGTGGAAACTGATGCAGTCATCCAAGTTCTCAAAAAATTGAAGGCCTGAATTAAAAAAAAAGTACATTTTGAAATAAAAGATTACATTCACAAACATAGAATGGCTAAAAGTGAGATCGTATTAAGAAAGTAACAAACGCATATTATAAATCGAATCAGACAAGGAGACACAATAAACATTTTTTTTTATTTTACCAGGTAAGGTCTACTGAGCTATATAGCTCTTTTTCAGAAGCGAACTGGCCACAATTGATAGCCCAACGAAGTGACTTATCAAGTGGAATTTTATAGAAGTCAAATACTCCAAATGCGTGTTTCTAAATGTGATGGGAAAAACTGGAGGACCAGGTGAAAAATCCACGTGACCACGGGGAGATAGAGAGAAATGCAAACTTCAAATATACAGCAGGCGTCAGGGTTCGGGATCGGACCCACAACCTCCTGAATACCAGGCGAGGTAGTTAACATCTAGCCACCGCGGTGCCCTTTTCGACACGTTTTTGCCAAAGTAATTCACAGTGACATCAAAAAATGTTTTCTGAAAATTGAACTGGATAAATCAAGGCTTTCAGGGAAACACATTTTTGTTGTTCAAGAACCCAACAAACACGGGTCACATTTTGGGGTGAAACCCCCCTCAGAAGGGGACCTACTGGCAGCACTTGGGGCTCACAGCCCGACCATCATGAGGATGGCGATCGGGAGTGGCAAATTTAATTGAAACAGTGTTAACCATCTCAGATTACACCAACGATATCGTCACAACGGCCTACGGTAATTAACCACGTTAGATGATTCAAGATCTTTATGAATAAGGCTGTAAAGTTGGGGCCAAGATACATGTGGGCAAAAAAAACTGAATTCACGCACAAGTTTGCTGAAGAAGTACGTATGCATGTAGAACTTCTTTCGCGCCGTACGTAGCCAACCGTGCTAATCGAAGATGCGGGAAACTTAAGTGAAGGTGTCTGTCGCAGAGACACAACCCGAGATGGGCACCAATCCAACGCGGATCCCGAGACATGTAGACTTAATCACGTTGACTTTACCTGGGCCATTAAATACATCACCTATGTTTGTGCTCGGCACCTTTGATCGTCATAAACACCGGAATGTTGACGTCTCTACACGATATAGTTGTAAGGCTGTTTTTTTTTCCTTTCCCATCACTGCAGGCTACGTTCGGGCACCCACTCGTGCACGTCTTTATTGACCTCCCTCCCCAACCCGCGTCAAACCTGCACATATTTGTCCCGCTGTGTAGGAGGTCGGTCCTATGTGACTCATTCCCCAGGTACGAGCTATTGATAGAAGATGACATGAGCGCCCGAGCGAGCGAGGAGCGCGGCTTGTTTGACTTGAGTGAGGTGTGCACGTCGGCACGATCATGCGCTTCGTCACCTTCGTCACCCCAGCTAGTGGTAAGGCAGGCTCGTGTGATTCACTGGCTGGCTCGTGTTGTTTGTGTACTCGAGTGAAGTCTTAAAGTTTTACGTTTAGGGGGGTTCATGCGTTCCACGACGATTTAACGTTCAGATATTGTAGAACATCGCTGGCGAGGTGGACAAGCTGGGCTCTCTGCTATTGGCATACTGCAGCGTGAATTTATGTGTTGGCCACCTTTCTCACGTTTTGGCCTGTTCAACGTCCGATACAGAACCGCTCGCACACATTTAAACCCGGGCAAGGGAAGGACCTTTTGAAGGTACCTTGCAGAAAATGCGTGACACCTGATATCGAAGACCAACGTTCTGATCCGTCATATCATCTTCAAAGTCATCGTTAGAGCATCAAATTCACAGTTGAGCACCAAGCCCCGTGATTAAATCCCCCCCCGCCCCACACTATTCAGTGAGCTCAACACACAGAGGTAATATTTACCTTATTCATACAAAGTAGATAAAGTTGTTCTCACACCTGATTAAATAGCGAGTTAAGACAACATGATCCAGCGAGGCGATGCCATTGTTCGAGCGTGTGACTCAATTACCAGCTAAATTCAGGTCATGGGGTCAACTCAGCCTATCATCCAGATGATATTGATAAAGATGGAGACATCTTTGCAATTCAGCAGTGTGTTCCTTTTAAGGCGTGACCAGTTCCAGGCATGAAGTCAGGGCAGCCGGTAAATGAGTGCCTTCTCCACCCTTTGCTTGAACCAGAAAGCACTCTGATGGAACAATAGATTGGTGAGATAAAAGGCACGAATCTACCGGTTGTTAGCAAAATGTCACCTACTATATATTTTCCTTTAAAGGCCACAGTGTTATTGATGAGCTTGTTGAGTTTTATATTATTACTGTTCTATGCAGCTTTGTGTATTCATTTTATGCCGAGTCCTCGGGGAGTGGTGTGCAGTTTAATTACGATGTAATGTTTGTACCAAAAACGCTTCAAACACCCATAGGTATAGCCGTTTCTGTTCTTCACATCTCGTAGGAAAAAGTGAGTGGGCCTGTAGTGCACTCGCATCGTGGCCGTTTGGACGCTGGGTGATGGAGCGGAACGAAAAAGATGTCGATTGCTTCAGTCTCCCGTGGGCACCCCGAGTGACTCACCCTCACACGTGAACACGCGCGCGCTCGTTCACACAGCCACACGAACGCGCGCGGAGGCAAAGTAGACAAAGCTGCCCTTGCGAGACCTGCAATAATGTCACTTGAAAGAAGTGTAAGTGCTGTGCCTATAGTTGGTCCGCTCAGCAACACACCCAGCCACCTTTGTCTTCCCAGCACTGGTGGAAAACACTTCTCACCAGACGCAGTTACCGCTCCCGGGCTCATTTGACTTCAGGGAAGGCCGTGCCGGCCACACGTGCCGATTCCCTGCTGTAGCGGACAGCTGATGTCTCAACGTGTGGGAGCCATCCTGGGGATGAGTCGGGCTGAAGAATTCGTGTCCCCACGGGATCCGTTCCAGCGGCACGGTTCTCGTCTACTTCCTTCTTCAGCCGTGCCCCTGGGGGCTGCCTTGTCTAACCGTAGCCCCCCCCACTGCTGCCTGGACCAGTCGTGACGTCACGGCGTCAACGCAGGATCCAGATGGGTGCGATGTTGGTGTCGCTGGCTTAGTTTAAATGACCGGTCATCTTCGTGTTTAAAAAAAAAAAGCAAAATACGTGGGCTAAAGAAAAAACTTAATGTAATTTTTAGATTTAAAGCTTTCGTGACTGCAGGGATTCATATTCTTGGTTCTTTCGGTAAAGTCACGTAGAAGGGAAACAATAAAATAATAAAAATATAAAACAATAAAATTCTCACGACGTTTCGACTGCAACACAAGCAATAATCATCAGGTGTGAAAACCACAGCAAGAAAATTTTCTTGCTGTGGTTTTATTGTTTTTATATTTGTATTATTTTATTGTTTCCCTTCTACGTGACTTTACCGAAAGAACCAAGAATATGAATGTAATTTATTATGATATTACTGCCATTCATATTGTTTCCCAAACTACAACTGTTCACCTGTAATTGGTAGAGAAAGATTGGGGTCAGGGATGATGGAGTAGGAGAGGTGAAGCTCGAGGGGAGACTCATTGCTGATGAAGCGTGTGAACACAAAACCTGAGCTGTCCCTGGGCCGGCATAGCTTGATTCCCAGTGGTTGTGGCAACAAGGCATTGGAACGCACCAAGACATAGAATTTAGAGACTGTTGGGGCAATTGTTGATCGTGAGCACCAATCTGGGCTAGCGTGGCATGCGAGCGAGTATCCTGGCTCGCAACAAACTCGGTCACCTGCGCCTCTCCACCACCGATATTCACGCACCACAGTTGGTATTTTTTTTATTTCGGCTCAATTGACCATTGGGAGGCCGACCCCAGACCAGGTTCAAATGTCAATGTGGCTGTGGTTGTGCATGGCCAACAGGAATTGGCACTGTGTGACAGCAACTGACACAACGATGCACGCAGACACGCTTGGTCATCTCACCTTCCCTGTCTCAACACGGGACTTTAAGCAGGACCCCCCCGCTGCTGTATTGAAGTTGGAATCTGCCACTTTTACAGTCGTTTTATAGTGAGGATCACACCTACTACACCTTTGCTGTCCTAACAAATTGTAACATTTGGAATTGTTAACGTACACTCAAAGGCTATCAAAGCAAGTTTAAAATCAACGGTAATTTGTACTCTGCAATTCAAATTAAAGTTTAATGGGTGAAAAGATGCAACATTTCTTTGCTGAAATTACGTTTAAAGCATGCTTAAGCATGTGAGCTTTCTTATCTCGGTCAGCAGTAAGAAATTCACGAGTGTTACTTTTATGACAGTAACTGAAATACAACTAATGCATGCATAACCCTGTAGCTAATTGCAAAGGCAGTCTTTAATGTGCTGTTGAAGGCATTGTGTTGCTGTGTAACGGTGGAGAGAATATCAATTAAGGCACTGGTATATGTCAACTTTACATCTTACATGACATGTTAAATGAAGCAATTTACCGAATAAACACACACAGGCATGTCAGACGCATAGAGCAACTCTTTAACGTTCGAGAAAATGCAAATCTATGATAAAACAAGAATAGGCAATATCTGCAATTCCAGTATTCATCTTACAAAATGCATTTGCCCATGGAAATAGCAAAAGAGCGAACGATTACTTATATAACAAAGCATGGCTCTTCCTGCAAACAATGCCGGAGACCTTTGATAATATTTGTAGGAAATAAACAGTGTTGGTTTTGTCCTGCGGAAAGGATTTAAGCCTCCGGTATGCGGAGTTTACAGGATTTCCAAGTTTCCTCGTCGTGGACAAAGCAATGTCGCAGTGCAGTCTTATCCAAAGGAGCATTATTATGTTCATAGCATTTGCGTGTGAGTTGTGGCAGGTAAACCACCCCATTACCATACATATGTGACAAAATCTGTCACTGATCTTCGAGGGGCAGTCAAAAGGTATCGAGACTGGAATTTTGGAAGTGCTCTCGATAGGATGGCCACTGGAAGCTGTCCACAGTGGTACTTTTTTTCGTCTCTCCCGAGGGTTCATGGGCAGAGTCAACCCCCAATCTAGATTTAATTTCACAGCCTTCCAATTTTGAGTTGGGCTCTCTCACCACAATGCCATACGGCCAGATTTCATAATCAGTCCATCGACATGTACGTGGCTTAAACACAGTCATCTTCTGAGTTTGCGCGATGAGTAAAGGTTCGAGGCATTCGAACCACTTTGACGCAACAGGCGTTTGCGTTGATATTTCCGCGCGGAAATCTGACGACGCGTCATGACGCGCAAGGATACTTGCGCACCGCGGTCGATCGCGGTGGATGGAGTGGCGTGAGCTTCACACACAACCCACCACTTGTTTTGTGCATGACTTTTGCTCATTTACATCATCCCCATTGGCGGTGGTGGTGGTGGTGGCTGCTGCTCTCACGCGCCACTGCAGTAAGGAGCCTGCACGGGGTGCATGCAAAGTTTGGCCCATCCATCGCGGGCGAAAAAAAGCGCAGCGCGCTGTTCAAAACAGCAACTCCTTTTCCTTATGTCGTGCGCGTCAAAGATAAGGCTGCTGGGAACAAAGCGCTGCCAAAAGCAATATCCAACTGGGAGCAAGGAAAACTATGGTAAAAAGCTTTTGTTAAATTATTTATACAAGAGGCTACTCTCGTTGTGTTTTTTGTTATGGATGATTGAACTGTACAACGATGCATTGCAAGGGACGCAAAAAAAATAGCTTATTACATTTTTTAAATGTTGCTTTCCAAAAATAATCCTTGAAAAAATGTCTTATGTTTTGCCATTGGGTTAAAAAAAATACGGCAAGGTTTATATTAGTCAATGAGCCTCTCTGGTTTTATTTAAACAAGTCAAGAATTATGTTTTTTTAAGGACTGCATTTTGTATTACCGGTATAGTGTACAACTTTAAACTTCCTGCATTTATTGAGTTACATGTGATTTTAAGTTTTGACCCCCCATTAAAATCAGTTCTTACTCGGCAGGCAGTTATGAATAATTTCTATTCAAGCCAGTTTGACTTTTAGTACTTACAGGGCACAACATCATCTATGAATTATATTGAGCGCTGCCAATGAGGAAGGCAATTATGGGGGATTGCCAGCTCATCATGGTAAATTCTTGCTTACCACATTGGTCCATCTTTGAATCTAAAACTAAACTAGTTTTATATATTTTTTTAACCAGGTAAGGCCCACTGAGCTATGTAGCTATTTTTCAAAATGCGGCCAGGCCACTAATAGCTTAACGGAGTGGCTTATCACGTGGACATTCATAGCAGCCAAATATTCTAAACGCATGTTTCTAAATGTGGAGGTAGAAACCCAGGAGGTCACGGAGAGAAATCCACACGGCCACAGGGAGAACGTGCAAACTCCAAATATATAGGCGTCAGGGTCGGAACCCACAACCTCCTATACACCAGGCGAGGTAGTTAACAGCAGGAAGGAGCACAAGTTTAGAGTACCGGAGAAGAGCCGTGCACTTGTTTTGCACTTTCTGCATCAGGCTCCCAACATGCTCAATCAAGGATCCACGCCCCCACAAACCTTTGGACTCGCTCGCTCCTGGCTTGCAAGCAAAAATAATAAATAATATCACGTTATCTTCGTTCCCCTCAATCACACCACCTCGTGCCAGCAGTTCTGCGCTTGATTAAGGCTGCAAAGTGCAGGAATTGTCAAATTCATTTGCAGCAGCAGCAGCTACAACTGTGTGCTTGCTTGGTGCGACGGAGTGGAAACAAAGTGCCGTGGCAGTTAAGGTGGGGCCTCTACTCTTGCGATCCAGGGCTGCTGGATGTAAAAACATTTTTTTTCTCTCGCAGGAAGCCACAGCGTGGGTTGTAAGGCCCACCCTCTAGAGCTGCCGGAGGTGCATTTATAAAAAAAAAATGTTATAAGAGAAACAAATCTACGCTGGCTGGTCGTGTGACTCGTGCCTTCCTTAACGCTACGCGCATGTCTGGGTTTGTGAGCTCCACGCTCAAGGGGGAGCCGTTAGCACCGAGCCCTTTAGTGATTATTGCACTCGGAGGGAACGTAACGTGCTGAAATACGCAGCGGTCGACATGGAGGCTCGTGTGAAGAGGTGCTCCTCCGTCTTGTGTGTCGCACACTTCAGTGTACTGTAGTAAATACGGCATGTGTTTCGGTGCTCCTGTAGCCGCGGCACCATGAAGAACAGTAAAAAGCAGAGGTAAGTTCTGAAGATTTGCTTCGTGCGTGTGTGCGCGTGTGAAAGAACAGATGGGGAAATGTGATTTCACAGTAACAGCGACGTGTCGGTACGACACGTGTAAAACTTAGAGCTTGCACATAAAGTACTGCGCTGAATTGTTCTATGGTCGGTGAATTCCACAGCCCGAATTCCAATTTTTGTTTGCGCAGTAGAATTGTAATTCATAGCTTTTTTTTTTAGATTTACAAGGCTTAGCTTATTAGATTATTTTGAAAATGTAATTTATATATACTGTAATTTATTCTTCTTTCTGACTGTATTTATTATCTTTTAATCTATTTTGATAAATGGCAAGTATGCATTTGTTTTTCTGTTTCTAGTTTCATATATCAGGGAGTACGTGCATGCAACTTATCACTGAGTTTACTATAAAAACATTTAGAAAATTGTCTTGTTGACATACGCCCAATAAAACTGCTGAGTTATTTCTTTTCAATCATAAAAGGTCTTCACATTTGAATGTATGTATTTGCCATTCCATCATTTGGAATGCGCGTAAGAATGTTGCTGGCCTTCAAACCCAGCCCCAAAATTCAAGTTTGTGTTGAGACACAGATGGAACTACTGTTGTAACATCAATAAGCAAAGAGGCATCTGTTTCGTCACTGAATTAACTAAACAACATTTATATATGTCGACCAGTAGGGTTTCCTGACCAGTTTTTTTGTTTTAATATCGTAGCATTTGTTTAATCAAAGCACGTCCTGGATGATGTTTTACTTTTCTGAATCTCATCAGCTAGGGTGTGTGACCCATTTAAAAAAATGACGGCTCCTAGATTTGCAGTCGTTGCAGGTTAGCGCTATCTTCAAGCTCCGTGGTGCCACAATTCGCTTTAAACAAAATGCAACAAAACTGTGTAAAAAATACTTGGTGGCAGTGAATCAACACTTCAGCCGAGTCTAGGTCATTGTTGCCGGGAAGGTCATGAATCCCCCAGCCCAGTTACTTTCGCCTGAGTTCATAAAAGCTTAGCGTGAAAAGAGGGGCACTGGAATTCATGAAAATGGGTTATTTCTTCTGGGTGTTTAACGTTGCCCAAATCTTAAATGTTATTGTTACCGAGTCTGCATAATGTCCCAGGCTAATCTGGAGGCGTCCGAATGGGGAAAAAAAAACATTTTTTATTGTTTAACCTTGCTCTTTTCACGGCAGCATCTTGGAGAAGGGGGTTTCGTGGTGGGTAATCTCGCGTTTATTGTTTTGGTTGCAGGCGAGTTTAAATGTGCAGCCAGAAAATCCGTGCGCTGCTTCAGTGACATTCGCTAATCAGTCCACTGGAGAAATCAAAATATTTATACTGGAGGAATCCGATGAGCTATGAAGCTCGTTTACCACAGATGTCCAAATGATTTGCCAATATCACTGAAGAAGTGCACGGCTTTAACTGAGCATTGCCCACTGCCAATCCGGGGAAACTCGATGGAGCAAATGTGGCCATTTTCAAAGATCAAGGGGAGACAAGCGCTGGAGTGACAACTATTCCGCTTCACTGCGATGGCATTGTAAGGATTACATTGTCTCAGATTCAATTAACATAAATGAGACGCAAGATGGGTGATTAGGATGCTTTTTTTTCCTTCTTCTTCTTCTTCTCAAAAGGAATGCTGAATAAAAAAAAACTAAAACCCCCCCCCCCCAAAATCCTTTTGCATGAGAGTGGCACAAAAGTGGCTTTGTGTAGTGAGGGCGAATTAACGGTACGGTGGGCCGCAGAAAGATTGCAGCTCTGATCTCGTAGGCCTCGGCAACGGAGAGCGGGTGTTTAATAACGTTACAGCGCGGCGATTCTGCGTGTGCAGCCGAGCGTGGCAAAGCCACGAGGCCATGCGGATCGCAGAGAACACCACGCAAGCCTCCCTGAGGCTTGAGGGCATTTCAGGAATCCGGACCCCCTGCTGAGATGCTTCTCTGTCCTTCCAGCTATCGCATTATCGCCCTGCTGTGGCCTTCTCAGTCTAGCCCAGGGTGTGAGTATTGAGCGGGGTTAGGCGGGGGAGGGGCTATAGAACTTGTCTGACCCATTTCTGTAGTTTTTTTTTTCGAAATTTCATTCATTTTGCATTGAAGGGCATAGCAGCAGCAAAGCAGATGTTAATTAGGGCACGTTTTAGTTTACAGTACAGTATTTTGGTTTTATTATTTTATACCTACGTGACTTTACCGAAAGAACCAAAGAGTATGGTATTTTGGTTTCCTTATTTCACAACCAGAAGTCCAACATTTTATAAATAGGAAGCTTTTTTAAGCACCGTTTGGCCCTCTATATTTTTCAAATGGTTTCTAGTGCTAGATCTAGGACAGGCACTAAAATAAATTATTCAAACGTGAAAAATTATCCATCAGAAAACGGTGATTTAAATTTGGCAAAGTGACTGCTGTATTGTGGGTTGTGGGTAGGGAGGAAATCTGAAAAATAACCAAAAATGTCGAGCCAGGTGTTATTTTCCGAGCGTAATGTTATATGTCCTTATTTGTGTAATTGGCAATGACTTATGAAATGAAACGTAAGTTGTAGGCATGTGGGGACCAAAACATTCATTGATTTCGGACTGAGCCAAGTCCTAATGTACAATATTATGAGAACACTGTCCACTCATTGTGTGCAATACATTGATGGAGTATTGCAGACACAAACCGTGACCACGTTATCGCTATCTAATTTCAACTTAAAACAATCAAGACGAGCTAGATAGAGACAAACGATTGCATTTGAGCATTTTATAGTGAGGGAAAATAGTATTTGATCCCCTGCTGATTTTTGTACGTTTGCCCACTGACAAAGAAATGATCAGTCTATAATTGTAATGGTAGGTTTATTTGAACAGTGAGAGACAGAATAACAACAACAAAATCCAGAAAAACGCATGTCAAAAATGTTAGAAATTGATTTGCATTTTAATGAGGGAAATAAGTATTTGACGCCCTCTCAATCAGAAAGATTTCTGGCTCCCAGGTGTCTTTTATACAGGTAACGAGCTGAGATTAGGAGCACACTCTTAAAGGGAGTGCTCCTAATCTCAGCTTGTTACCTGTATAAAAGACACCTGTCCACAGAAGCAATCAATCAATCAGATTCCAAACTCTCCACCATGGCCAAGACCAAAGAGCTCTCCAAGGATGTCAGGGACAATATTGTAGACCTACACAAGGCTGGAATGGGCTACAAGACCATTGCCAAGCAGCTTGGTGAGAAGGTGACAACAGTTCGTGCGATTATTCGCAAATGGAAGAAACACAAAAGAACTGTCAATCTCCCTCGGCCTGGGGCTCCATGCAAGATCTCACCTCGTGGAGTTGCAATGATTATGAGAACGGTGATGAATCAGCCCAGAACTACACGGGAGGATCTTGTCAATGATCTCAAGGCAGCTGGGACCATAGTCACCAAGAAAACAATTGGTAACACACTACGCCATGAAGGACTGAAATCCTGCAGCGCCCGCAAGGTTCCCCTGCTCAAGAAAGCACATATACATGCCCGTCTGAAGTTTGCCAATGAACATCTGAATGATTCAGAGGCGAACTGGGTGAAAGTGTTGTGGTCAGATGAGACCAAAATGGAGCTGTTTGGCATCAACTCAACTCGCCGTGTTTGGAGGAGGAGGAATGCTGCCTATGACCCCAAGAGGTGGAAACATTATGCTTTGGGGGTGTTTTTCTGCTAAGGGGACAGGACAAATTCACCGCATCAAAGGGACGATGGACGGGGCCATGTACCGTCAAATCTTGGGTGAGAACCTCCTTCCCTCAGCCAGGGCATTGAAAATGGGTCGTTGATGGGTATTCCAGCATGACAATGACCCAAAACATACAGCCAAGGCAACAAAGGAGTGGCTCAAGAAGAAGCACATTAAGGTCCTGGAGTGGCCTAAGTCTCCAGACCTTAATCCCATAGAAAATCTGTGGAGGGAGCTAAAGGTTCGAGTTGCCAAACGTCAGCCTCGAAACCTTAATGATTTGGAGAAGATCTGCAAAGAGGAGTGGGACAAAATCATTCCTGAGATGTGTGCAAACCTGGTGGCCAACTACAAGAAATGTCCGACCTCTGTGATTGCTAAAAAGGGTTTTGCCACCAAGTACTAAGTCATGTTTTGCAGAGGGGTCATATACTTATTTCCCTCATTAAAATGCAAATCAATTTATAACATTTTTGACATGCGTTTTTCTGGATTTTTGTTGTTGTTATTCTGTCTCTCACTGTTCAAATAATCCTACCATTAAAATTATAGACTGATCATTTCTTCGTCAGTGGGCAAACGTACAAAATCATCAGGGGTTCAAATACTTTTTTTCCCTCACTGTATGTGCATTCAGACCCCTCACCCGTGGGAGAGCTTTGTTGTGGATATACGTTCCCATTTACTCGACTGTTGTGCATTCTGTCGGCGGGGCCATTGTGTTTCGAGCGTGGCCCTCTCGGCCGTCCAGGTCGCCTCTGGTGCTGTACCACGACACTGTACAACTGTTGCCGTGGCACCAGCCACTGCCCTTTTTACAAGCAGGGCTGGGACGAAGGAGGTTTTGAAGGGGAAGCTCAGTTGGGATTGTTCCCCCCCCCCAACATTTTTTTTGTGTTCATGGTGGTGTTAGGGTTGCACGCTGTTGTTTGCACAGGTGCGGAACACTGACCTTACATTTTGTGCCCGGTAATTCAAAACCAACGCTAGCGCTTTTACAATTGCAGGAAATTGTTTCCTGGGTTAATAAAGTCCCCCTGGCTGCATGTCCTCGGTCAGCCTCTCTCCTCTCTCTTACCCTGGCATTTTTAACCGGCCCTTAATGCGGCCTGTCCACCGTGGGGTGTAACCCAACGCTCAAAGGGGATCTGCTCGATGTTGACTCGGCGTTAGGGCCAGCTGTCCTTTGTGTTATTCCTATTCATCTCCTGTTAGTGCTGTACATGTGGTAATTGGGACGTTCTCAAGATTCTGGGGGAAATTCTTGTGGCTTGGGAA